ACCAAGTGTGGCTCTGACAGCTGTTGTTGCTGAAACCAGGCAGTTCATACTCCCAATCCCCTTTCTCCTCCTGTGATACTTGGCTTTGCTGATCAAGCCACCTCTAGGACCGGTAGAAGTCTCCCCAATCCCTGCAGATATGTTTCACTGTGTCCCAGTGACCTTTAACTTTAGCAGCTTATAGCTGCTGCAACAGACATATACATACAAGTGACATTTCTCTAGAAATGTCCACAGTCTTGCTTTAAAATTTTGTTTTTCTAAGCCAGATATGGTGGTTTAGGCTTGTATCAACTGGCAAGACAGAGGCAGGAGAATTAGGACTTCAAATCCAACCTCAGCTGTATTGTGAGTTCAAAGCCAGTGTCCTCATGGAACCCTAGCTCAAAAAAACCAAAGCAGGGGCTGGTGAGATGACCCAGCCATTAAGAGCACTTGTTACAGAGGACCTGTGTTGAGTTCCCAGTACCCTCATGGTGGCAGTTCCAGTTCCAAGGATTCCAACCCTCTCTTCTGACCTCTGTAGAAACAGCTTATGTGTTGTGTACTACATATACACAGGCAAAACATTCATACATATAAGAAATAAAAAAACAAAGCAACCCAATCCTCCACCTGATCTAGTTGTGGAACTCATGTTTTCTGAGGTGTGCTCATTACAGGATATGGGAATCTCAGGTCTTCGTCATCAGCCTGGTATAATGGCCACTAATTTGGGTTTTCAATGTTTTTTTTTCTTCATTTTTCCTGGCTATCCCATAAGCAACACATTTTATCACTCTAACTGTTCCTTCTCTTTCAATGTCAAACTGTTCTACTCTTTCAGTCATTTGGGCCTTCTTCTGATTTTGTCCCATGCTGAAGAATTTTAAACATCCCTCATTTCCTCTTTGACTTTTAGCTAAGTAGCAACCTTCAGCCCCCACACCCTAAACATCTCATTGTGTCCTCAATTGCCTTCTCTTCTTAGTCTAGGGTTTCTTTCTGACCTTCTAGGAAGCCCCGACATTGGCCCTGCATGGAGATTCCCAGATACAAGGTTAATAATTCAAACTGAGGGACACTTTATTGACAGAGCACAGGTGTGATCTTGTAAATTATTCTCAAACAAACCATGTGGCTTTGAAGGCCCAAGTTTATTCCTTCCTACCCTACAGAAGGCAGTGAAGACAAGAGGCTGCTTGAGCCTTGCTTGGGACACAGAGGCCAGGCATGGTTCACATTGATAAGTCATAAAGGTACTGTATCGATCTAGTTAAACCAGTATGATATAATCTATCTGAATGGTTTTTGTTTGTGGGTTTTTTGTTTGTTTGTTTTACTTTTGGTTTTTTTGAGACAGGGTTTCTTTGTAGCTTTGAAGCTTGTCCTGGAACTCACTATGCAGACCAGACTGCCCTCGAACTCACAGAGGTCCTCCTGCCTCTGCTCCTAAGTGCCAGGATTAAAAGTGTGCGCTACCACTGATCAGCCTATCTGAATGTTTTCAGGGACTATATAATTATATAAGCAAACAAAAATGATAGACACCCAGTCAGCCAGCAAATACAGAAGACATGTATCTACCTCTGCTGTACAGGGACCGGGAATGCAGAGACAGAGGAGAGAGAGAGAGAGAGAGAGAGAGAGAGAGAGAGAGAGAGAGAGGGAGGGAGGGGGACTATATCTCATCTTAAGTAGCTTAGATATGTAGAAATATCTAATATAAGTACATTTAGGGAAGTAACTAAGTTGGCAAAAGAGCATGAATGGACAGGGATTCTGGAAAGGCGATTGCAGGTGAGCTCATATAAACATTAGGTAGAAAGGTTCTGCAGACATGACACAAAGAAGCATGCAGGTCAAGAAGAAAAGCAGTTAATTATGAAGTCATTGGTAGATATGGGGATTTGGGGATTGGAAGCAATGGCTACATGCCTAACTCTCACAATACTATCTGTCACACACCAAACATCCTGGGTGGTGAATGAATGAATGAAAGGGCACAAGCTTTAGTGTCTGTGTTTAGCCGATCACTAGAGCCAGGGATGGCTTTTAAGGAGACAAGTCTCCTTACTGTAGGCTACTTGTGGTTATTTAAAAATAAACCAAGTTATAGAAGGTTTTAGGGGTTGAACACAGGAATAGAAAGAAAGATGGTGGCTGCCAGGGGATGAGTCAGAGGATAGTTGCCTAAGGGGTGAGTTCTGGAGCTGGGTTTCACACTGTGCCCGTACTTCATGCAGCTGGGAGATCTTAGAAGATGTGTATTTTACCACAATGAAAAACTGAAAGTAGTTGGGTCTGGTCGGGCAGGTCTATAATCCCAGTAACTCAGGAGACTGAGGCAGGCAGATAACAAGTTTAACCTTTGCCTCGGCAAAGGCCAGAGTATAGCGCAGTGGTGGAGCAGCTCCCCAACATGCAGAGGCTCTGAGTTCAACCCCGAGTATTGCAAAAATAATGAATAAAATAAATCATAAAGATGTCAGCTTACTTAGATTAGAAAGGGTGGTGGTCCTGCTGGTCAGAATTGGGCAGTTAAATTGACTGCTGGTGGCTGGTGGCCTTGTCAGAGGAGCAGCAGGTGGCAGTTAAGGTTCAGGAAGCCGGCAACCGTGAGGCAAAACTCTGATGGGTGAGTCTCGAATAGGCAAGGTCTCAAGAGCCTTGGGCCCCAGAATTTTTCTTGTTACTGCTGTGTCTTTGCAAGTTTGCTGCTGCCTTTCCCCCTCTGGTATCTGGTAGAATAGGCAAGGGGAGATCCCTAGCCTTTAATGTAGTCTTAGAAATATCCCCTTCTATTGAGCATTTTTACCTGTAGATTATTGTGAAGATGCTTTTTCTTAAGCTGTACTGTTTAACTGAAGCATTGAGTTTACACATTGATAGTATCAGCTCAAATAGAATTTTGATGGTTGGGGTTTTTGAATAAATATGGTAGGCATTATGATAGAGGTTAGCTTATTGGAAAAATTAACACAGGTAATAGTAGGTTAAAATGTTGTCTCTGTCTCCGATAAAGCAGAGACTGCAAAAGATAAAAACAAAACAAGGAGATGTCACACAACTAGTTTCTCTTGGGGAACCATATAGACTGTGGCTTAGATTAATGATTAAGAAAAACAACTGAGTCCCAAAATTCTTTTAATCTTAATGTTGGGGGATGTTCTCATAGGTTTTGGAGTGCTTCATAGCTGAAACAAAGCTTTGAAAATGACTTTAGGTTAGACTAAGATGTTTTTGTCAATAGCTTTGAGGTGAAAAACCCTCAGAAGCAATGTAAAGTTTTAGAAAGGCACATGGCTTAGTGAATGACTCCTTAAGATCAAGGAACAAGAACAAAGCAGCCCAACTATTATTAGCTGACAAGCCTTTCTTGCTAGGATTGGTTGATGACCAAAGGTGATGATTAATTCCTTGTATTCATTTCTGCCCTCAGCTTCCTGATATAAAAAACTGTTGGTGAATGGGTATGCACCCCAAGGATTTAAAATAGACCTGACTGATTCTTTTTCATATATAAAAGTTTAGGTTTGTGATTCTTTTAAGATTTCGAATAAGGGTCTCTTGAGATAAATAGTAAAATGATTGGTCCTTTCTTTGTAACGCAAACCCAGCCTGCCAACAAAAGAACTGGCTGAGAAAAATAACTTGCTTTCTTATACTTTGTTAACCTATTACAAGTTGTTTGGGTATGAATGCATGTGGGTTCTTGGGACAAGCTGCTTTTCATCTGTAATACATAAAATCTTTAATCATGTAGGGAAAATGAGAATTTTTTTTACTTGTATTCATTATAATCATTCACTTGAAAAATAGAATATAACCACATAGTTTTTATATTGTTTGAAAGATTTTGTTGGGATATATAAGCTGTAAAGAAAAAATAAAAACAAAACTGAGATGATAGAAAGACCATGAGTGAGTATGTGTGTGTTCTACCCCCCCTTTTTTGTTTGCCAGCCCCAGAGAGTTAAGTTTAGCTCTCCCTCACTGGCCCCAGAGAATTAAGTGTTACTCCCTCAGATAGAAAAGTCAAAGGTCTGCCAGCTCCACAGGCTTCCCCTCAAGCCTTGAGCTGCTGGAGGCTGGTCCTCATGGCAGCAACATTTGACTCTGTCTCTGAGCTACCCTCATGTATTTTTGTGTGTCAGAGTATTGTGCCCAAATTCTAAACCCCCAAATCACCAAGAGGCCCATTTCGATGCAAAAGCAATGAGCCTTTTATTGCCGTTGTTTAATGTGCTAACCTCATTAGATGGGGCCTTTCATCCACCCACCATGGCGGATGGTTGGGGAAAAACTCCAAGAAACCGTGGGACAGAGATCTTATAGGACACTGTAAGGGGAGTGTCTAGGGGTACACACAAGCTCAGGATTGGTGTGCCTCCAGGCTTGGAGGACTTGTTTGGTGCCATTGGTCAACTGGTTGTTATGGCCTATAAGCCCTCCCAGGGTGGATGCTGTGTTGTTTATGCTACTGCTGTGCCTTGTCCGTAAAGCACACCCAGAGCTGTAAAACTTAGCCCCATTAGCTAACTTCTGATTGGTTCCTTGCCTTGAGGCAGGCATCTGACCTCCTAGTGACCAAGGCAAGGTCAGGCAAGCATGCGTTAGGCTGTTATGGCTGCCAAAATGGGGAGCTGGTCCCTTCAAGAGGTTTTTTTTTTTTT